AAACCATAACGTCAGTTTTCTTGTGTTCTTTCCCATCTAAGTTCACAGATGAATGATGAGCACCCCTTTCATAAACAGTGTGTGTGGGTGCCCCATGTTCAGAGGTTTCTACCACTCAGCACACCCACAGACCCATTCCTAAGCACATTAATCACATGTTAGCAGTTGTTTAGCAACTCTAAAACAGTGCAAAAGCACACTGGTGATAGAAAACAGAACTGTCTTTGTATTCTACATTTTAGAAGATTTTAGAGATACATAGCATGTCTGAAGTTCAAAGTTATAGCTAGGTTATCTATCCATCCCTTTTCATACACAGTCTGATCCAGTGCTCATTGGGAGGTTTTCCACTGACTTCAGTGGTCAAGCTCCCGGAAGCACAAAACTAATGGGACCTTGCTTTCCATTTGACAGGAGTGAAACTCGAGGGCAAGAGTTAAAAGTCAGTACTGTAAAACTGGTGTGTGGTGGGAGAATCCAGCTTGTGGTTTCTTCATCACACAGCAATCTCTAAAGAAATCCAGCAAATTATCTTGCACTAATTTCCTTGTCTGACTTGAAGCCCATTGAGGTAAATGGAAAAAATCCAAATGAGTTCAGTGAGCTTTGGATCAGGCCATTAATTACTTAATTACTTATCTGTTATTTTCCAGCACTGCTTGGAATATTACATTTATTCTCTTTTTTTTAATTATTTGAACACAATGTATGCTTGGACCTAATAATTCAATAGTAGTTATTATAGTAACTGAGAAGGCAGTCTTTACTTTGTTGCAACAAAGTACAGACTCTTTCTGAGGGCAGTACTGGGAAGAGGGTTCTTTTTATTTCATTCCATGGATGGAAGAAGCTATGTGGTACTCTTAATCAGGGATGGCCAACCTGCAGCAAATGTGCCACAAGTGGCACACAAAGCTGCTTTATGTGGCACATGGAAGATCTGAGAGGGATCAAGAAGAGCTGATCAGGAAGGGAGGAGAGGGACTACGTAGAAAAGCTGAACATGAACAAGCAAGTTCAAGGGGCCGGATGGGATGCACCCAAGGGTGCTGAGGGAGTTGGCTGATGTGACTGCAGAGCCATTGGCCATCATCTTTGAAAACTCATGGCAATCAGTAGAGATTCTGGATGATTGGAAAAGGACAAACATAGTGCCCATATTTAAGAAAGGGAAAAAGGATCTATGGAACTACAGACCAGTCAGCCTCTCCTTAGTTTATGGAAAAACCATGGAGCAGATCCTCAAGGAATCCATTTCTAAGCACTTGAAGGAGAGGAAGGTGATTAGGAACAGTCAGCATGGATTCACCAGGGACAAGTCATGCCTGACTAACCTGATGGCCTTCTATGATGAGGTGACTGGCTCTGTGGATGCGGGGGACTGGTGGATGTGGTGTACCTTGATTTTAGCAAGGCTTTTGATACAGTTTCCCACAACATTCTCGCAGGCGAGCCATTGATTACCCTCTGAGCCTGATGCTCCAGGCAGTTTTCTATCCATCTTACAGTCCATTCATCCAGCCCTTACTTCCTTAGCTTGCCTGCGAGAATGTTGTGGGAAAGTGCATCAAGGAAGTAAGGGCTGGATGAATGGACTGTAAGATGGATAGAAAACTGCCTGGAGCATAAGGCTTAGAGGGTAATCAATGGCTCGATATCTAGTTGGCAGCCAGTATCAAGTAGAGTGCCCCAGGGTTCAGTCCTGGGTTCAGTTTTGTTCAAGGTCTTCATGGCATAGCCTCAGCAAACACCCTCAGCAAGTTTCCAGATGACACTAAGCTGGGGTTAGTAGTAGATATGCTGGAGGGCAGGGCTAGGATTCAGAGTGACCTAGACAAACTGGAGGATTGGGCCAGAAGGAATCTTATGAGGTTCAACAAGGACAAGTGCAAAGTCCTGCACTTGGGACAGAACAATCCCATGCACCAGTACAGGCTGGGGGCTGACTGGCTGGGGAGCATCTCTGCAGAGAAAGACCTGGGGGTTACAGTGGACAATAAGCTGAATATGAGCCAGCAGTGTGCCCTTGTTGCCATACTGGGCTGCATTGGTAGGTGTGTTGCCAGTAGATCAAGGAAAGTGATTATTCCCCTCTATTCAGCGCTGGTGATGCCACATCTGGAATAGTGTTCAGTTTTGGGTCCCCCACTGCAGAAAAGATATGGAGATTTTGGAGAGAGTCCAGCAGAGGGCAACAAAAATGGTGAGGGGGCTAGGGGACATGACTTCTGAGGAGAGGTTGAGGGAACTGGGCTTATTTAGTCTAGAGAAGAGACTGAGAGGGGACTTAATAGCAGCCTTCAACTACTTGAAGCGGGGTTTGGAAGAGGATGGACCTAGACTGTTCTCAGTGGTGGCAGATGACAGAACAAGGAGCAATGGTCTCAAGTTGCAGCAAGGGAAGTTTAGGTTAGATATTAGGAAGAAATTTCTCACTAGGAGGGTAGTAAAACACTAGAACAGGTTACTCAGAGAGGTGGTAGAATCTCCATTCTTGGAGGTTTTCAAGACCTGGCTAGACAAAGCTTCAGCTGGGATGATCTAGTTGGGGATGGCCCTGCTGAGGTCCCTTCCAACCCTAATTTTCTATGATTCTATGAGAGAGCAGAGCAATGGATCAAGCAGTAAGAAGAGTGGTAGACAGGACAGGGATGAGAGGGAAGAGCAAAGGATTGGGCAGGGGAGGAGGATCAAAATGGCTCTTGGGGAGAGGGCAGAGCTTACCTTGTGTCATGCCTAGCAAAAAAGTTGGCTCCCACTGCTCTAAATAAGGGGTGTCAAACTTTTCATGGCTTCATGGTGTAGGGCTGTTCCACGGGCCAGATGAATGACGTGTGGCTGGCCCCTTGTGATGGATTTGGACCATGTATTACTGCAAAAGCTGTTTGAGTTCAGAAGCATCATTGGATTTGCGAAAGTGTTAGGTATTTACATTAATAATGAGAACATCCACCCTTATGTTAGACAAGGTAAAAATAGCTTAGAAGAGAGATGAAATTTAATAAATGGGAGATAAACTGATATGGAGGAAACTTTGCCCATGAGTGAGTTAATATGTAATGATTTGATTTTGGCCACTGTCAGAGACGAGATACTGGACTAGATGGACCACATACCAGCACAAAAAGGTCTATAATTCTTTTTAGCATCCTTATAAATATAGAATAACATATTTTGTAAAAGTGTAATTCATTGACTGCTTAGAAAATGAGACCTCACTATAATACTCTCAAATATCCTACATTGAGAAGAGGGGATGAGACTTCAGGTTACTTTTGTGGGCTACTGAAATGATTATTACTGACATGTTTACTCATTTTGTACCTAATATAAAGTGATAGCCTAATCATGATGATTTAACTGAAAAGATAACTTATAACCACTAAATAAGTGGGCTTCAAGCTATTCCTATGTACAATTTTACGTTCAGAAATCATATATAATCAAGGGAAAATGTTAAGAAATGTATTAGAAAGCATCTTACTATTTAGTTTTGGTATACATTTTTTATAAAAGTTATTTATTACTGAATCCAATTTATCAAGTAATTAATTTAACATTTAAGGATACATCCAACGCCCTAGGGTATAAATAAAGACATACAGTGGATTCCACTTTATAGAATCACTGGTTAGTAGAATCAGCCACTTATTTGAATCAATATGAGAAAACCAAAACCATTTGTATATTATTACATGTAAAAATTGATCATATTAGAATCACAATTTTTGGTTTTTAGAATAATTTTACCAGAGAAGCCTGGGGATTTTGCAGTTTTGTGAGGAGCCCTTTGCAGGCTGGCAGAGTTCCAGCTTGCAGGGGGCTGGGAGGGCGGTCAGGCAGAGGGTGCCATATACATATACAGGTAGTCCTCAGACTTATGACCGAATTGGTTCCTGAAAATTGCGTCTTAAGTCAAAACGTTGTAACTCGGAACCGATGTTCTCATGGGAAACACTGATATAAATGGGGAATTGGTTCTTGAACCAAGGCCCGATACCCTATTTTCACCAAAAATAACCCAGAATTTTGTACTCAATCAGTTATAGATGAGTAATATTGCTACATTAATGTATTTATATTGTACGTAGCAATCGTATTGATTTGGAAGGACTTCATTGAGGTGACTTTGCTGGACTTTTTGAAGGGGTCTTGGTTGGACTTTTTGAAGGGTTCTTGGCTGGAGTCTTCTTAGGAGTCTTGGCTGCTTCTTAAAGTGGCCAAGGAAGTTTGGATAGATGTTCTCCAGGGAGACGGGTGACGCAGCAAACTTGTTCGCTGGAATGGCGTGGTGTCGGATTAAGCGTTGTACAGTTGAAACTGACGTCAGAAAGTTGAAACAAAGTTTCAACTTATAAATGTTGTAAGTGCGAAATGTTGTAACTCGAAACGTTGCATGTTGAGGACTGCCTGTACTGTACATGCACATGGCCCCAGGCAGCTGGGAGAGCAGCTCCCACAGGTAAATGGGGGGGGGACTGAGCCCCCGTAGGGAGGGAGGGCTTGGGCCCCAGTGGGGAGTGGGACGGTACTGTGGGCAGCAGATCTGGGGGGCAGAGGCTGGGCTCCCTGGCGATGCGCCCCCTGCGTGCGCAGTAGCTTTAAGGGTCACAAACCTGCGCCACTGCCCTCACTGCCTGTGCCCGCCCCCACCTCCACCTCCGCCCCATGCACAGATCTGGGGGGTGCGGGCTCCCCCCCTCGCCTCTGTAGTAAGCGCACTGCCCCAGGGAGCTGACCCCACCCCCTGTGCCCAAGCCTGCAGTGGGGGGTAGCAGGTGGGAAGCTGCTGCAGCAGCTTGCTGGGAGAAGGGGACTGTGGACCTGCATCCCTGGCCCCATAGCCCTGGCTGCTGGGGGGGCAGGGGGCTGTGGGTGGGGGGCAAGGGGCACCTGCAGGGCTGGCAGGGGCTGTGGCAGGGGGGGGGGAGAGGCACAAGCAGGGCCAGGGGGCTGTGGGGGAGGAGTGAGTATCTGTGTTCTTAAAAAAAAATAAGTCTCCTTTTAATGGAATCAGCTGGTTAGCAGAATCAAATCACCATTTCCAATACAAGGAATCCACTGTATTTATCTCCATCAGTAGTGCTTTCTTAACCCAGGTGAAGGTCCACAGAGGTGACTTGTGTTCTTTTCTTCTCTTCCTTTCAGTCTCTGACAGCTTCTTTACATTTCATAGTGGCCTACATGCTGTAATGAAAAAAAATGTTTCACCAGACTTAATATTTGCCAAAATATTGATTTTTGTTTTTGTGTTTTGTTTTTTGTTTTTTGGGTTTTTTTGTTGGTTTGGATTTCAACAGTGCTAGATAGTGTTTACATTGCGGCAGTTGGCCAGATCCAGAAAGTTAATCAGAATTGAAACAGACCTGTGCTCAAATTTAACTGAGTGGAATGGTGGTGAGGGGAACCAAACCCAAACGAAAACCAAAAAAGTTAGCCATGTCAATGTAAATTAGATTAAAATTGTTTTAGCTTTAATATTTTGTATTAGGAATGCAGGTAGAAGAATTTTCTATTCAATGGAAAAAGAAGGTTATAAAGTAAGTTATTTTGGGGGTTGTTTTTGTTGTTCGTAGATACTATTCAGAAAACTAGTGGAACATTTTAGGTACTATAGTTTTCAGCTTTAGGCTTTTCCCTTGCGTGTAAGCAGGGCTTTCCTGATAAGCACTTAAAGGGAATTTGCCTTCCTTCTGATTCTTATTATGTACATGTATTGGAAGCTACTTACAGCTACTTCTAGGAAGTCTCCTCCCCAGTACACGTGTGTGTATCTGCATGGATGCATGCTCTTCCACTTCCACCTGCAAGGTTTACTGGGAACAGAGCAAAGTTCAGGTACAGTCAGACAAGAACATCTTAGCTCAAATGTAACATGCAAAATTACTAAGACCATGGCACTACTCAAGAGTTTAAAGTTAGCCACATGTTTAAATACCTGGCTGAATTTAGACTTGTTTAGTCATACTGGGTGTCCTTGACATGGACAAACAGGATATGAACTCAGCAGGACTTTTGTCTAGGTCAGTGGTGTCCAAGTCATTTGGCCATGTGGGCTGGAAAAGTGGCACAGGGCTGGTCTGCGAGCCAAATTTGGAGTGTGGGCTATGTCATCTGGCCCGTGGGTCTGGAATTTGGTGGTGGTAGAGTTAATTGCTGTGGCTCCTGGAACTGTGGCAGCTGTTGTTCCTCCCACTGTCACATTTCTACTCCCATGGACCGGATGACATAGTTCCATGCTCCAGATTCAGCCCATGAGGCTGGAAATTTGCTGATAGGATAAGCAGCAGCAGGATTCATTGCTCTGGCTCTGGCTACCACTGTTCACCACACTGCCAGGCTTCTACAGCTGTGGGGAGCCCTGCAGGTTAGATGAAGTGGCTGAATGGGCCAGATCCTGGTCACTCCTGGCCTACGTAGTGACAACTGGATCTGAGCCTGTGGCTATAGTGCAGTGAAATGCCTGTTATAGCAACACATTCTACCCGACAAGCTTTTAGTGTGTCATGGTGATCTGTTAACTTTTATCAACTTGATCTAAAGTTACCTGTTACCTTTACAAGTGACCTTTTTCCATAGGAAAACTCACTGAATACTTTGAAACAATAATGTGAAATTTCAGAGTGCCTTATTTCTTATTTGAAAGAAAAAAAGGATTATTTCTATGGAAAAGTAATTTATCTTGAGTTCTTCTTAGTCTCTTTTTAACTTAGAACCTATGCTCAACTACAGAAGAAGCCTCTCATGGATCATGTACACAGTTAATTCACTTAATGACATTTTAAAAATAAAAGTTAAAACCTCTACATTCTGAATAAAAATAAGTCTTGGACTGTTCTCTAAAGATCTGAAAATGTAGGTTCAGACAGACACAGTCAAGAATTTGAATTTTCCCTGGAAACTCCTCACCTTTGACATTCATTTTAGGAGCTGCTGACAGTAGCAGATCCTGGACAGTGTAAAGATTAAGTTGTAGTGATGGTGGGAGCTCACTTCACCCATATAGCAAGCTTATGCACATGCATCTAGTAGTTGAGACTGAAGCTCTTTGCAGTGAACCAGCACTGAAGGTGGGTTGTTATGGCACCATCACACCCCTCCCCATGCACTTGCCCAGTTCTTTTCCCAGCTGCTGACTCAGTGGGCCATGGAAGTCTTTTGTATAACTAGGATTCAAGGCACGTCAGACATTTAAGATTAAAACATTGTACTTGAAAGCAAATTGGAAGCTATTTGGACATGATTCCACCCCCCCCCCCGATCTTTTTACACTGCCAGGGGCAAATCCCCAGCTGGTGTAAATTGTTATAGGCTATACCAGTGTACACCTGCTCAACTATTGTGCCCTACCCCACCACTCCTCGGTCTATTATACAAGGTCCTCAGTGTAACTGAGAATCAAGCTTAATGAGTCCATCGTTTTGAGACTGTCATGTGACCTACTCTTCCTTCCCTGCCCCTGTTCTACTCATCTTCAGTAGTAGATAGTAACATTTTAAAATGTTAGAATTGTACATTTTAGCAGCAAGAATCACTTTACTCTTGACTGAAGAACTTCTGGAGTGGAAGGTAATAACCATTTAATGTGTGCACCATCACTAAACAAAGGCTTAAGGATCTGAGATAAAATTTACAATATTCATTTAAAATGTCAGGTGCCAGAAAGAATGTAAACAAAGGTCCCAACCTGGAGTTTAATTAGGCAGTTAATTGTTGCCTTCAAGATGCACTAAAATTCCACAACAAGGAGTTAAACAAGGGGATGCATGTGAGGGGTTCTGGAAATAACATTGGTTCTAGAAAAGCACCCTGAAATATTTTGACTGTAGTACGTAGCCATTCATGTGAAGGAGCAGATGACAGTGGAGGTTGTCTTGTCTGGTTTTCTTTGGTTGCATCTGATCTTTAAAATAAATGGTCACTGTATCTTTTTGATAGATTACATAGGGGGTTCTTGGAATATGCTGGCTGAGGCCAAAACTGGTGAGTAGCTTAATTGTTGGGGTATTTTTCTGTGGGTCTACTCTCTTATTTAGTGTAAGGATTCTGACTATTAGAGCATTGTTTCTGTCTCAGATAATAATCAGCTGATGAAATTCTTTGATGCATTATTGTAGTGAGTCAGAACCATATGACTGCTCTTCATACTTTGCTTCAGTATGTCTCTTGAAAACAGTAGGAAACCTATCAAGTCATCACCCTACATCTTTTCTAATCTGCCAGGAACATTTTTTTCCATGGAGAGCAATATAATTTTTTCAAGAACAGTTTTGATCTGATGTTTTTGTTTTGTTTCCCAATAAAAATATTCAGTCAGGGCAGCAGTTGGAGGTAAAGTGCAACAAATTCTATAGGATTGTGACCTCTGGAACGAACTTAATTAGTCAAAGGAAACCACAGCATTACCTTAGTGCTGTGCTTTGGACATGGGATCATGGTTTGGCTTACATTTATTTTATTTCTTCCTTTCATGCAGACTACAAATAGATCATTCTCCCAAACCAATCTGTTAATTGTAATAAATTGCCTAAAGCTAAATCTGACTATGGGTTGTGACCTGTTTGGTTAGTAGCTGGAGTAGCCTACCTATTTGATTGCAACAGACAGCCATTTCAGTTGTTTCTAAGAGCATTTTAATCCCTATTTAAAGAAAATCTCTAAGTATGAAAAGAGCCCAAATAATCAGTAGTTGTTATTGTTTCCTATTTTAGGGTTGTCCTAATTATGATGGAGCAACATTTTGTCTTGTCCCTCTCTCTTCCTGTATTTCAGCTTAGGTACCCAAGCTTCTTGGCTGTCACAGAAAAAGAGATGTGCATCTCCTGGGGCTATTTCAGGGAGTGAAATTTCAGAAAAATGTAGGAAACAAAACCAGATGCCTGAGAAGAAACTTGGGGGCCCTTTATAAGCAACTCTTCTCTGATCAAATTAACCAACTGATATTTCTAACACTTCATAAATAACATATCACACTCTGTCAAAGATGTGGCTTGAGAATGTAAGGTGGTTGTAAGTTAATTAAAGATGCCTTATTCTGCCCCCAGATCTATAAGAAAAAAAAAGTTCTTCTGGCTTTATCGCTTTCCAAGTCAAAAAAAAAAAAAAAAAGAAGATGATCCCTCTCTTCATCTTTCTCTTTGGTTTAGGTATTAGTCAAGGTCTGCCTTATTTTAAATGTACTGCCAAACAATAGTATGTTACCCTTGAGGATTAAAAACAATATATGCCATTGTATGCCACCTCTTCATTTAAAAATGGCTTGGGTTGCCATTGTAAAACAAAAATTAAGAATTTATGCAACCCTCTCAAACAAAAGCTATAAAATATACAGAGCTACAGTCCATCTCTTTGGCTACTTTGGCAGTAAAAAAGCTCTGGATAGAGTTAATATGATTTAGTCTCTTATACTCCTTCCTTGCAGTGCCTTGTGCCTGGAAGTGGGAAGAGAACAGGGCTGAGAGAATGGTAAGGCCAGTTCATACTGTGCCCTAGCAATCTATGGCTGGCAAGATGACCTCTTGGCGGCTGCTACCTTCCCAAATGCTTTAGTGCAGTCCACAAGCTCAACTTGAGTGTTCTTAGGGAGGGTACAGGGCTAATTTGTGGCATGCCTGCCAAAAAGATTGACTCCATTTCTGCATATCAAGTATGTCAGTCAACCCGAGGATCAGGAAGTTGTAACAGGTTCCTTTGTGACTCTTCCTCTCTGAGTTCACCTGCAGGTCTAGCCTATGGTTTTGATAATGTGAGATTTTACCATTTGAGGTTTTCTTAACATTGGAATCTCTGACTCAGATTGTTTGTATATTTGTCACTATTTGTCACCCACATGAGTTATATGTTTTGAACTTGTCTTTGAATTTTAAGGTTTCTTTTCTTTTTGTTATTTTGACATTTTTTGGCAATGAGGTTGAAGGATTGTCAAGCTTTGGGAATGGTAAACATTTTATAACACCTGGTTTTTCCTTTGTTATGAATACCTTGTTATTAAAGAATGGATTGCAAAAATAAGTGGAAAACACTGCATGTACTTACACACAAGTTGTGGAATCTTCATCCCTGGAAATTTTAAAGAGCAATTTAGATAGACTTTTAGCTGGGATAATTGTCAGAAATGATGCTACCTTGAGCAGAGGGCTGGACTAGATGACCTCTTGAGGTCTCTTCTATCCCTGCTTTCCAGTGATCCTTTCCTATAGGTAATACAATTTGAAACAAAAATTGTTTAGCAGTGTATCCATAACTATTTTATTCCCAGTAGCAAAGGTTTTTAATCTAAAACAATTATAGCAAATGATGTTAAAATAACTGTTTACAAATAATTAATTGAACACATGGGTAGTGTTAAAATTACAAACAGATACATTTTGAAAATAAGAAGGGTTGTTCTGTCTTTTTAAACAACAAATAGATATGTCAAGACCCGAGTTCAGTTTTTCATGTTTCTCCTAACAGAATTGCTGACAACAAATTGTGCCTACAGCACAGAAAGGCACTGTAATCCATATGCTGCTTTCAGTGTTAGTAATGTCAAGTCCTTGAATATCTAATACATTTAACACAGGTCCTGATGGATAAATAAGAAAAAATGCTGTTAATTTTAATAAATTAAATGTTGTATTTTATTTCAAAATGTATTTACAATGTGCATTATTTAAAATTGTAGTCATGAAGTTTGCTAGGCTCCGATCTTGAAAATGCATACGCTTTATTTATATAGATATGTAATGTTGTAAGAGCATGATCAGACAATTGAACCAAAAAGTGAAACTGGCTGGAAACAAAAGTGCAACAAAGAAATCTGTATTCAGTTTCCAAATTGAGTTTCAGGCAAAAAATAAACAACTAGTATAAATGGGTAATGTAGGACAGCATTAGGACCCGATACAAAGCCCACTGTAGAAAGAGTCACCCTGACTTCACTGGATTTTGTATCAGATATATACTGTGACAGGGGAGGATTTTTCTTTTTTTTTCTTTTTTGGAAAAAAGAATTTCAAACCTGATGGTGTCACTTAAAAATATGGAAAATTCTCCAGTTTTGCCTCCTACATGTTTCTGTTACCAAGCAGTCACTGATCTTATTTTAGATATGACCTTAGTGTTCTTTCCACAGTACACAGGCTGAATGACATGTTATTCAAGTTCTTATACAATATTATGATGTATCTGTTTTTATATTTAGCTGAAACCTTTATTCTCTTTATAAACAAACCCACCTAATGCAACCACCACCTATCCAGGGAGAGTATTTCCATTCCCTCTGGTTTAGTTTGAACAAATTTGGCATAGAACCGTGCAATATTTCCATAATAACATTTGAAACAGGATGCCTGCTATATTGACATGCAGGTCTACAGTGAGTTTTACCATGTGCCAGGAAATTGCATTCTTAAGAAAAATCCAGACATAAATTTTGTGCAATCAACACTTAAATTTTGAAAAGTCTGGCAGTAAGCTGCTACATACCTCAGGGGGATTCAGTTGAAATCTTTACTTTCTAAGCAGTGCATTTCCCTCACTGGGGTATGGAGGCAGAGCAGATAAAGTGTCTTACTCTGCATTGTGAAGCATTATTTCAGGCCTTGATCAGGACTCATGCTGAAGCCCCTATACACTTGACCCAGCTCAGAGCGGGTACCTGGTTGTTCCCAGGCTGGAGAGTCAAAGGTAGATAGCCACATCGAGCCACTTCACTCCATTGGCTATCCATACTATGGAGTATGTATGTGTACAGACATTTGGGGAGGTTAAAGTGGTTTCAAAATGGCCAGCAAATTTAAACTTCGCTCATCCCAGTGCTGACATTACACTTACAGATCCAGTCTCAGTGGCCGGAAATCAATCTAAACCTGTAACATTACAGAAGGTCCACGCGCATAAGCTAGTCCAAAAATTGCGGAACCCGATTTAAGATAAACCTGGATGGATGTAGTATAAAATTTACTTGATTTTGGTCAAACTGGTACATGGAACATCTATACAATTTCCCTGTGCAGCTCTGGGGCTAGAAAAGCCTAACCACCAGCCGCAGCCCTGGGGCTGTGCTTTTTACCCCCTACCCCACAACGGGATATTTTTTGCCCCCCCGGTCCCTTGCCCCACCTCCTGACCAGCCAGTCATCCCAACCCGTATCCTGCAAGCTGTTCTGGGTGCAGCTGCTCTTATCAGCATTCACTGCTGCTGGAGCTGAGCAACTAAATCCTGGTAGGGGGAGGGGTGGGAGAGAAGGTGGATCAGCTTGCCGGGGGTGGGATTGGAGGGCTAAAAAAAGCCCCTGGTCTCTCCTGCCACCCCCAACTCACCCATGGGTCCTGTCTGCCTTCCCTCCCCATCCCACGAGCAGGTTGCACCTGTGCCCTCATCCTCCAACAGACCCCTCATCAGCCTGCTTGTCCCTCTCAACCCCCCTGCCAGTTCCCCCCAATCGCAATTTACCTGATATTGGGCAGCTGTTTTGAATTGATTTAGCTTCCCCCATAATGCCCCCAAATGTCTGTACTTAGCCCTTGTGTGCTGTTGGCTACAGAAACTCGCATGTCTTTGCCATGATTTCACTAAAGGCTGCTAGGCCTGGAGTGGATCTTAAGTCTCCTACATTCATATAGACTCCATCCCTCTCCTGCTAATCTGGACCCAAGGTGGGAAAGGGAGAAGAGGAGGCTATGTCTTCCAGCCCTCGCCTGTCACAACTGGGGTGTAGTCTGACCACAGAGTAAATCAGAGTAACTGCAGGTTGAATCCACACCAGATTGTACTTGTTGGTGAAGGGCTGTTATGTCAACAAGGAATTGTTGGGCTCCGTGTGCTCCTCCCTTGCCGCCCTAGCATACCACATTGGTCAGATTGGTAGAAGATGTTAAAAAGGGCTACAGTCTAGCTAGGTAAACCTGACTTGAAACCAGCCAGGAATTGCCTCACAATGAGGTAATCAGTTCCCAAAAATATAAAGAAACTGTGACAGGTACCAATATCTGGTCCACAAGGTCCTTGAGGGGCCCTATCTCCTGTTAACTTCACTGGGTGTGGGATAGGTTTGGCACATCACAAAGTGCATGCAGCATCTCGCAGGTGCTGCTCCTTAGAAACCAACAGGCATTGGAACATTAGATGACTGATGCCATATATGAGTATGAATCCAAAGTTGCATTTAGTCTAACTGAAATCAATGGTGTAACTGTCAGAGAGTTACAGAAAGCTTTCAAGGATCCTTTCTGAAGTGTGCTGAGGTAAAGCAACAGCAAAAAAAGAGGGTCTTTAATAAAGTTCACCTGAACCGATGAAATTTGGCCACAGGGAATTGTTACAAAACTAACAGAACTCAGCAGTCTGTTTGTAAAATTCATCGGTTATGTGACAAGTTCAGTAAACAGTCAGTTTAAGTATCGGTACATTCAGAGATTTTTAAGAGTGAGGCAAAGAGTTAGTCTTTCACACACATGGAATTGTAGCACAACTAACATGGATACTAAACCATGTGAACTGATCCCACTGGGAGAGGTTTGCCAAAACTTGAGCCAGGAAAAATCATACAGCTCTATAAATAGCTAAATTTAATTTATTTGCATATGTGCGTGTGTGTGTGCACAGATGCATACATGGAGTTCGTTTTTTTAAATAAATATAGTTGTTCTTAATGTTTTTTTAAGTAGGAGAAAATGTTTTAAATAGTTTTTCCTAGAGGCAGTACATTATGTTCTCACTTTAGGGCCAACAATGTGTACTGCCTATTTTCATAAGGAAGCTTACAGAAGAAGGAAGGGAAAGTATTATGAAGCATCGTGAGACTATGGTAACCATTTGTCAATGATATATGGCCAAGCAAAGAGTGCAGGAGAAAAATTAAAATATATCGGGAGCGGAAAATAAGATGTGTGAAGTGTTTCCTTTTCCTTCCACACATTTATGACAACTAAGCAAACAGTTTCTCATGGCATCGGAATTTAACCTCTTACATTTGCTAATAGGATGGTACTGAAAAAGTGAGTAACAGGCAGAGTTACATGGAATAGATGATGGGATAGGAGGTAGGGGGACTAATTTTACTGACTAACTGCTCCCTTAAAACTTAAGTTAATTTGCAGTACGTTAGATGCCTTTCCCAGTGCACAAACAAATGTGAATGGAAAAGCAGGGTAATGCTTTAGATATTCAGGCTGTAACATAGTTGAAATGAATCCTGGCCTAAGTGGCAGCCAGCACGGAGCACAAAGTGTTCTTAGACCCGTGTAAATAGTTTGTGATATAGGGTCTGACTTTCCATTGAGCTTCATAGCCTTCAGATCAGGATCATAAGACTTCCAAATTGCAAATCAATTTAATCCTTAAAAGTACCAATCTTTTACAGGATTTTTTTTTTAAAAAGCAACAAACCAAACCTGAATCCTTTGTTTGCTTTTGTTTCATGGTACCTTCATTTCGTATTGCCTGGGAATAAATGGTGCATTGGATTTTTCTTCCCTTCTTTATTTTAATGTTCATGATAACATCAGTAATTTGGTAACGGGTGTAATGGGTGTTCAACCAGGATGTTGAGCACAAATGTTGCTTGGTACACGTGATTATTTGATATGTCTCCTTAGTGTCTTGGTCTTTATACTTAGACCAGGGATGTTAAAGATACGGCCTTTGGGCTGGATCCAGGCTGCAAAGCTGTATCATCCAGCCCCTAGTGCTACCTGTGAGTCTCCCACGGGTAGCATGTGTAGCATACATGATGCCCAGTCCAACACACGTCCCAGAGCAGCAGAGTGGATACCAGCATGGTTCTCTAGGGCTGTGCTACATGTGGCAGCCACTGTGGGGCTGTGCTGTACAGGCATGGAGCAGCCACCATGTGCAGCATAGCCCCAGAGTGGTGGAGAAGCTGGACAATGCTGTGCACAGCATTCCCTCCAGCCACTCTAGAGCACCCACTGGATCTAGAATGTGGGGCTCGTCTGTGGGTCTGATCTGGCCCTGCTCCAGTTTGACACCTCTGACAGACAGATGATCAACATGAGTCAAGGTCACTAGAGAGTGCAGCATCACGCACTTAATAATGTACATGCTTTACGCCACCAGTGAATAATGTAGTGCACAGCCCTCTTTCTCCTGAGGTTTATGATCTTTCTCACTGCTGAAATGATTTCAGTAATTACTCACCATGGATAAAATGCCCTCCTGTGTAGAGGTCAAGTGCAATGTCTAAGCATCATTCAGATTCTCAAAATAGGCTTTAGGTGGAATTTAAGTGACACATGAGCTTTTTACTGGCCTTCTGCTGAAAATGTTAGTTTTATACTGTGATCAGATGATATTCTAAATAGTTACTCAAAATAACATTAATGACCTTTTTAGCCAAATAAAAGTGATAATTATGTTGCTCATATCAATATGTTTAAGCAGATATTCTTGATAGTCATGTTATATTTATTTCATTTTTATTTGAAATCATCTTGACTCCATATACACAACTGAATTTGTCATTTCCAGAAACTAAAACAGTTTCTTTAAATGACAAACCTATTTTTTATACCAACCTTTTTGTTTAACAGAAAAGTTACATGAGAAAAGTACCAGTCACAGACCAGTGCATGTATGCTAGCAAATATAGATTCCTTGAGAAAAAGTACAACAAAAATGTTTTGTAAAGAGGGACTGTAACTAAGTCAATTCTGTCTCAGGTGTGAGCTTCACTATCGATTCAACTTTGCTTTTAAGGCAAGGATTCTTTGTAAGGAGTGATGTTGAAGAGACTGTGCAGCTGTAGCTTTTCTTGAGACCCTGTCACATACAACATTATTAGACTTGGAGTCTTCTTCTTTCATGAGCTTAAGAACTGTGAGTGGGCCCTAGCTTTGCTCAGGACAGCTCTCTCTTCCATCTGCCCAGGAACAGGTAGAGCCTGCCACACTAAAGTCCATTTTTCCTTGGGTTTTTTTTTTTTAACACTTCATAAATGACAAGACTGGGATTATATTTCTGGATCTCCCATTTACTAATGACTGGCCTAGAAAGGGGACAAAAGCACTACTCCCAGTAAGCTAATGGTGCTTATATCTTGGTTCAAGCAGTAGAAGCAAATAGCTTTTTAGTGTGGAAGATTTGGTTCTGTTCCCTATGCCATATGCTTGCAGTTAGTTAAAAGACTATGCTGCTTTATGTGTGTATCTATGATCAAAGATTATTGGAATTTAAAAAGGAGAAAGGTTTCCCTGTAAGTAGCTTGAATTAATTTAAAATTTGTTCCCACATGCCTCAGACTCTTGATATAAACAGTGTTAAGTTGGGAAAAGTAGGCAATTCCATCTCTTACTTTTTAATCATATAAGGCACTGTAAATTTATAGTGAATGCACTTGAAAAAGAAAAAGTTATTGGTGCTTCATTTCTGTTCTCACATGACTTCCTAAAAAAAGAACTGCAACTGAACTCTCTCCTTTTTTGATTATGGAAATAATTCAGAGGCTATATGCAATTAGAAGAAATACTAACTAAATATCATTCTAGGAGTTTTTATTTCGTTTTTTTTGGAAATGAGATGCAAAGCAACAAAAGCTAACAGGAATGCAGTTTGTTTCTTACTTAAGATATATAGGAGTATCTTTTTTTAAGAGATACTTTCAACTAGAATGAAGTATTTTAAATACAGATGTCTTAAGTACTGGTAATACTTAAATTAATTACAAATGACAAAGATAAAAAAGAAGTTTATCTTTTTTCTCATTTTATTTATTTTGTACATCTGACAATACTTTGTATGCAGTCCATTTCACGCTTCCTCCTGTCTAGTTAGTTTCCTCTGTTGTTTGTCTGTTTGTTGAAAATTGGGAACATTTTGCAACAAGTGCATTTTAGTTAGTTCATTTTAAAAATGACTACATTTTAAGAAGAACATGTCCCTTTTAAATGTCTATCTGTTTCTTCCATCTGGTCCCATCTATTAGGTGCTGAAATTGCCTTCTGTGCAGAGTGCTAGTACAATGCTAGTGTACAAGTTCTCATTTAGGCAAAGTATAGACAGTCAGAAAGCCTGAGGCTGAATCAATTCAGTCTTTGCAGGTTAGTCAAAGATGCAGAGGTTAACTTGAGAAACAACTGGACGCACCTCCACTTTTGATTCAGGAATTTCAGCCACATGCCTGCAGTGGCTCAGGCTAGAAGCTGGGGCAGGGGTGCTAGA